AATTTTCAGTCGAAAAGAATAATAGGCTGAATTCAACTGAGGATCAGTGACAGGGAAGTGAGTTCAGATTTCGATAGACACTATTCTCAAGAGACTATATGTTATTTGACTCCGCTTTGAACGCTGGTCTCGAAAATAATATTTGCTTCTACTAGAGATGAATTTTCTCATGGATATTCATTAAAAATGAGGTATTTTTCTTGAAGATGTTAACGATATTTTGTATTATTAGCATTGACTTGACATTTGACAAGAACAAACATCGTTACGAATGGTGGGTGTTCTCAAGGAGTTTTGATTTCATCTCATCAAAACAGTATCAAAAACAGCAATCCAAGGCATATGCTTGTCTTACAAACAGTTATGAACTGATAAAGTTTCGTTGCATCTGATGACATCAATCGAGGAGGTTCAGTTACCCTTAACATTTCATGATTATGTATCTCATCACCGAAAACAAAATAGTCGGGAATTCAGATCAACGAATCTTGTTCTATGATCTTTATCAGCAATCCTCCTCTTGATGACTTTTCTCAGTGCTAATGACTCTTTTTGTTCGTTTTTGAGCATATACTATATGTAGTAACATACATCGAGGCAATGGCTATCCCATTTATTTTTGTTTAAGCAAGGTTTATTTGTGACGCTCTGAAGCGCTTACAAATGGGGTTTAATACAAAGGGGAACACAGGGATATATATGAAAGAAGATAGTTACACTAGTATAAAATTGATTACATCGTTATCTACCACAAAAATGATTGTTCTACAGTTTATGAATAGATCAAGAACGCCTAGAAGTTGTGTGTTCATCTTAGAATTATTAAGGAGGAACAAGTGTGAGGAAGGAGGGCGAGATACTAAAGGGGAGAATAAACTTTGATGGGTAGTTGAGTTAGGCAATTCTAAGTATTCGGCCATGTCTATTTTTCATCGGCTATTTGCCTTCTACATATTGTAGCCAGATTCCAAACAGGGATTTGTGCTTATGCTTCACTTCTTTCCCTCTTCGTATCTGAAAGTAATGTCATATTGCATCGTTTTTTTTTCTTTTATTAAAATTACTCCAAAAGGACATATCATTGAAAAAGAGTGACTTTGAAAGATCTGTTTTATAGATTGTTTTTAGTCTCTTGCTGCTGTACCACTTAACATAGTAATCTAGATCCTTTTCGTTGGTAAAGATGTGTAGTTCGCTGGCTGCTACCCATGGACATCGGTGAACTAATCTTAAACTTACTATAAATTTTTGTCTAAGTAATTCTTGCTACATATTGGGGAGCAATGTAAATAGGCAAAAAAGCCAAGCAAAAAGGGAAAAGAGAAAGCAAAAAAGCATTGTCTTAAAACTCTTGTAGAAATAGCTCTATTACATTTAAGCCATTTAAGTTCCGTGTACGACCGTTGAATCTTGTCTAAGCAATCCTTAACAGATTTGTGCATAGACAACTTACTCGTTTATAGGTATCTGAGATATTTGAATTCGTTAACGCATTCGAGTAGGGTATCGTTCATTGAGACAGCTAGGGAACGCAGCTTAACTTGTGTGTGAAACACTTGGTAGACTGTTTTAGAGATGTTGATCGGTTGTTTTCACTTACTGGAATATTCAAAAAGATTATTGCACACTTTAGTACCTTCGTGCTCTAGAAACTGCATCATTGGCTCTAATTTCTTTTCTATTGGTGCTCTGATTAGCACATTTAGATCATCCGAAAATACATGCGTCGAAAAGGTTCCTGTTTCCTGTAAAAGATCGGAGTGAAAGATTATAAATAAGTACAGACTTAGATTGCTCCTTTGCGGGAGTCCAATCGATATGGAAAATTCCTGTGGGCTAGATCCCCCATAGCTAACAAAGGCTTTTCGCGTAGATATCCATGACCATATCATTTTCAACAGTTCCGTTGGGATGTTTAGTCGACATAGTTTCACTAGTAAGGCTGCGTGCCATACCTTGTCGTAAGCTTTTCGATAGTCTACATAAATAGATAGAGTGGGCACGTTGGTAGCAAAATTATTGAGGATCTCTTGATATATAAACAGAACTTTGGTTGGGATTGAGCAATTAGGTCTAAATCCTGATTGATCACTAGGGACAATATTGTTGGGTTCAGCCCAACCGTGTATTCTAGCCAATAAAATTTTCTGGAATAATTTTCAATGGGTTCCAAGCAATGATATTGGTCGTGTTTGGTCACTTCTGGGAATACCTGCCTTTAGTTTGTTCAACCTGATGGCTTCGGCTACTTTCCATTCATTTGGAAACCTGCATTCTTTTAGCCATCGGTTAAAGCAATCGCAGAGACATTCTACATATCCGAGAAAAGTAGCTTCAGTATGAAGTTAGAGATGTTGTCGTTGTCTGTGGATTTCTTGGGTTTTAGGGATCTAATTGTCACCACCACTTCTTTTAGGTTAGTTTGCTCTATTTCTTCAGCTTAGATCGATAGACTAACTAGGATTTTTCCAAACTCCTTTAAAACTTTTGAATCATGTAGATCGATATTATTTATTGTTGTGAGTTGGAATTGTTCTTCATAATACTTATAGAGTGCTTGCGCTATATTACCTTTGTCTGCTAGAATATCATTTTTTACTCGTAGCTTGGTGAAAGGGAAAGATTTTGGTTTGTAGATTTTTCCTAAATGCGACCAGAAGGCTGCATCTCCTTTAACTTTACTTTCTTGAATTTTCTAGAGGAAATTTGACCATTTTGTGGATCGGTATTGTGATATCTCGGACTGTACTTCTCTGTTTAGTCCTTTTAATAGAACTATTTCAGCTTCATTATCTACATCATACTTGCTTTCACGGTAATATTTATTTCTTACTTTCCTCAGTTCTTTCAATTTCCTTAAAATGTTTGCGAGTAGTGCTGGCCTAAACTTTTCCTTATTTTTCCACTTGGTTACACAATGTTTTAATGCTCCTAGAAATTGAATGTATTGACTGTACCATTCATCTATTGACACTGATTTTTGTTGGTTCAATCACAATTCTTGCATTGAACACAACATAATTTCATATTCTTTTCAGTTTGTGTGCGGAAAAGACGAGTGTGTATGATATAATATCGACTGTGAAGAATAAACTATAGGCCAATGATAACTACTACCAAAAGCTAAAATTTCTTCTTTTACATCTCTGATGTTTGTAAACAGAAGATCAATATTTCTTTTTAACCGTCTTGAGGAATTGAATGAATTCTTTACGTATTGAAGGTTATTTGCCTCCACCCAATTTTGAGGGCCACTCCACGATTATCATCTTTAGGGCTTCCCCAGTCCATCATTGTTGCGTTAAAATCACCCGCTACTATTGTGTTATCGATTGCAAATGTCGATAAATCACTTAGATCCCTTTCTTGAATTTGGAGCCAGTATATTCCGATCACTATTAGGGGCTCACTAAGACCGTACATGTCAACTACGACGGTATTAGGAATTAAACTTATTACCTTCACAGCTTTGAGGCTCTTTCCCACGGCTATGCCTACACCTCCTGACCGATTTAATCCGGCTTCATAAAATACGCTATAGTCTGGAATTTAAAAACTATTTTTCTGCTTTCCAACTTCCGTGAGGATACTGATTAAGGTCTCTTCCGAATGAATCAGGTAGATTACTTGTAATTTACGACTTGTCCATTCTTCTACATTATATAAGCAAAGTTTTACAGGACTCACTGGCACTGTAAAATCACTACCTTCTAGATATGAGTGGAAATGTTTCAAATAGGATAAAACTACTACCAGTGGCATGGAATATCATTCTGTTAAGTAACTAGAGATTTTCGTGATCGTCTTTGTCTGGAACTTAGAGCTTCTTAGTCGTTCTTTGTCTTTCTCCATGTTCTCTATTACTGCTCGTGGACAAAAAATGCATGCATTGGCATTTACAGCGGATTTGCTCATCGAAATTGGTTATCCTCCACTGCTAAATAAGAGTCTTCCATTAAGGATGGTGTATCGTTTGAAAATGAGTTCGATGTAGGTTGGATGTTGCTGTTGTTATTTACTGTTGACATTGGGTTTATATTATGAAGTTGACCCGGGATGGGACAACAGTTAAAATTTGTGCGTACCTGTTCTGCATGAATATGAAGCGGTCTTTCACATTCTTGTAAAGAATTGAGTGTTTTTTCTTTTGTTTCACGTTTTGAATTCGGTATAATATGCACTAATGGTAATAATACATTGTTTATTAGCTTCGATAGCGATGAGTTAACTGTACGCAGACTGAGTTGATGAAGTTATATACTTCTTGAATTAATGTTGACTTGATCATCAAATTTCTTCAAAATCATTTCTTTCATTGAAAACATTTCCTGCTTCAGCTCCTGGTGCATCATTTCCAACATTAACGTAATTCGACTGTTGCAGGAAGTGCTGGTACTTATTGTTGATGATTGAGTGCTATTTCATGGTCAACTTTTATTACTTTTCGATAGCATTTGGTGGTTGTTGATATTCGGTAATGGTGGATAATCTATTTCATAAGATGTTCCGGTAAAAGATGTATGATGTTGTTGATGGAGCTGAATCGTTCTTCTATTAATAGTGCCATTAATAACTGCTTGCTTGACTTCCTCGTTGAGTTTTTGATGGTGGTCCTGTATTATTTTGCATTTTGGATCAAGAGAATGATGCTTCAGACCACATTGTGCACAAATCGATTTTCCTGTGCAAATGTTTTTATGATTATGATCGAAGATTTTCAGACATATACACCATTTCCGTTCTTGTGATGGGCATGATATACGTGTGTGACCAATGAGCCAGCAATTTGTACAAAAAGTTAATTTGTTGGCCGGAAGATATTTTGAAGCTGGATGCATGCGGTTTGCAATAGCCAATCGCCCTAATTTTAGTGCACATACGTATTCTGTTACACCGGCAACTGTAAATCTATAATCGTTGGTGAATCTATCAAAGGGATATAAAATTTGTTTAAAATTGCCAGGTGAACTTATTGAGCGTTTGATTTCTACTGATATTGTTTAGATTGAGTTTGATAGTGTAGCATAACGAACAACTAGTGAAAAACATCCAGGAATGAATTTGGGTTTAACTACATTCATTTTCTTTCCATTGTTTGATGTTGGCCAGACATCAGTTCTAGCAAGTTTGGAGTAATCTTCCATATTATTAACACCAAGTTTCAAACGATGTCCTGTAAAAGCAGCAACGGAAAAGTCATTAATAACCATTTTGTTTTTGTTAAAGTGCTCTTGAATTAGATCACATACAATTATAGCTGATGGAAGATCACGAGGTGCGATGTTCTTGTGGAAATCTATCATAAAACATGGGAGATTACATCTCACTGCTCTTTTGAGTTGATCCATTGGTAATGCATAAGATTTAGTACTATTTGTTTTCATTGATGTTGACATTGCTGATGTTGTTTGATTATTTGGAGATTTTGTCTTCAAATTTATCATTTGATATGTTGTATTAACATCTGGAAAGGATCTTTTTGATTGTTGATGATGAATTACTTCCTCATGCCTAACTTTCTTCCTTTGTTAATTTGATCTATTTAATTGTTCCATGTTTCTTTTTGGAGTTGATATAGATTTTTCCTGCCGATGGCAGTAGTTGATGGTTGTTGTTGATCTATTTTCACAACCAGAATTTGTATTCTTATCTGATTTGTTTGACATTTTGTTAATCAATTGATGATTTATTGATGACATTGGTGGATCTTCATTTTGATGCTACCTTGTAAACTGTCTTAAGATTACGAAAATGTTCTTGTTCAAGTGGCACATATAATTTTCCATTGAGTTCTAGAACTTCCGCCTATTGAATACCGTCCAATGTACTTCTTGAAGTATCTTCATTTGAGATCTGAATGTTGAGTCTGCATAACGATTGAATTTTGATTGATATCTTCATGTCTTTGCTGCATTTTATTATTGATTCCACTACGATTCTGGTTAAAATCATGATATATTTTTTGATTGGGAGAGTTCATGTTAGGGCTCCCTTGTATAGAAAAGGTTTGGGGCAATAGAGCCAAGATCTGTTGCTTCAGTTTTAAAAAAGTTGAAGCAACGTAAGTTGAAAGAGAGAATATACGAAAAAGAGGTCTAGTCACCAAGTGTCCAAAAAGAGGAACGGACTATCCCATTATCTTGTGTACACTATAGACTGTGTTCCGGCCTTGTGCTAGTAGATAAGTGAGTGAGTAAATAGTGATTGTAGTGAAGTATGATTGTTTGTTATGTTTTTTATATTGGTTGAGTTACGAAGGAAGTTCTTAAGTTAGACTGCGAATTTAGTTACCTGGTTAAGCTATTGAGTAGTATCACTGAGATGACCGTCAAGTCCAATTGATATTAATACACATAATATTAGAAAGCTTCTAACACTTCAGTATGATCTCAGGCTTTATCCAATATGTTCGTTCATCAACATGAAGATCGTCGAAAACGGACATGTTCGAAATGATAGATCACCAAAAGGTCAAAAATCCTTCGTGATGCTTAATATCAAGTTATATCTTTCAGTTTCGGCGATCTGCATGATGACCTGATGCAATGACTCCTAAAAAATCTCCCCTTCCTCGTCACCTTCAAAAAATGAACATATTATGCTCAATATGTTTACCTTCTTCTTTCTGCTATTTACTGTAGTCTTCTCTGCGCTGAATAGATCTGTTGCTATGATTTCAAACTTGTGTGATTTATTCCAATAATTCATTTTTTCTAAGTTTCCTAATTTTCTAGCCGTGGCGCCTTTTTCCTATATTTAAGCTATTTTTGGGAACATACCAAATATTTTTACCGATACAGACATAGATGTTTTTCAATAATGTTTTTCTTATACAATTAAGATTCTTAATAGTGCACCAAAGACACAATTTTTTCGAAAGAATCCATGTTCAATGTTGTATGATAGAAAATGAATAAGAAGCACCCATATCTCGACGACGCCCAGACGTTAGATTGCTATATGTTGCTGCGACTTCAGTATTTTCACGCAGAATCTTTCAGCGTAATCCATATGAGGCTAAAATGTGAAACACGATGGGACCATTTTAACTGTAACCTTGACTGAGAAAATTACCAATCACTATCACAATATTTTCGAGGGTCAAAAAGACTCACATCGAAAATACCTCCAAACTGTCGACATTGTGCAGAAAAAGTGTGAAATCCTTACAGACTATGACAGAAAAAGTTGACATTCGTTTGTCTATCTTTTTAATGTTTAATTCATATCGAAAACAATTATCAAGATAAATAGTGACCAATATCCATGAATATTGAAGTAAATAATAACTTAAATATATTTTTGTTTATTTCTATGTTTATTTTTTATCCAAACTTGTACAGAACAAATTTCGGGACTCTAAAGTATAAAAATTCAAAAATATATACAGCCTATCTGTCAGATCTCTGTAGAACAGACCGGAGGTACTATATCACTTTTCTCATTAAATGCTTCAATTCTCACATCCAATCCTATTTTATAAAATGCTTCATCATTGATGAAATTGAAGCGGGAAGATTGTTACTAAATATTCATATTTTAGATGATAAACAAAAGGGACAGCTTGCAGAAAGAGTGGCAATTGTGACAGGATCATCGAAAGGAATCGGTGCTGCTATTGCCAAGCATCTTGGGCGTGCAGGAGCATCTGTCGTCGTGAACTATCTATCAAGTAAAGAAGGAGCTGACCGTGTTGTTAACGAAATTGTTAACAAAGGTGGCAAAGCATTTGCGGTCCAAGCCGATGTAAGAAAAGAGGCAGATATTCAATATCTTTTCGCCAGGGCTAAAAGAACATACGGTAGACTTGATATATTAGTTAAGGATGCAGGGGTCTACGAGTTTCGATCGATCGAAAACGTTACGGTTGAACACTATCATAGACTCTTCG